AGAGGGTGTCAGCTCAGTCTGAGCAGGGGTCTTGCCTGTCTCAGCCACCACTGCATCTCCAGGACCCAGCATAGTGCCTGGAGCAGAGTGTCTGATGAGCAAATAAAGATACGAATTGAAAGAAAGAACTATTATTGGCAAAGAGTCAGACCGGGGCATCTGCAATGGTGGCTGAGGCAGAGTGCTCTTCCTGCCGCCCTGCTGAAGGCGGACGAGGAGAACGTGAGCCGAAGTCCCCTCGCCCACCACCCCCTCTCCCCAGTGGACAGGGCTGTGTCCAGAGCTCAGGGTACAAAGCCGTGTTGGCCAGGGCAGCCGCCGAGCCCATGAACTAGCTCTTTCAGCTCTGGCTCTGAATGGCAGGTCTATGGGCTCCTCGCAGGGACACAGGCACCTTCTCTGTGTCACTTCTCTGCTCATTAGTGGAGCCACAGAAATATGCTACAGGTAAGTGTTCGGGAACAGAGATGGATTCCTCCCAGAAGGGGCAGCTTTAACGTTTCACGGCGAGAGCGAGGGCTTACGGGAGGGGGGGACCTGGAAGTGGAGCATATATATTGAGGAAAGAAAATAAATATTTGTGTTTTTAAGGTGTGAAACATTTTTCCCCAGGAATCAAAAGTGAGAACAGTATGTCCGGTATTGACCAGAGAAAAAAATGCGTGGAGGGGCCTTCCTGGAGGCGGCTCACAGACAGCCGCCATGAAGGGTTCCTGCTGTTCTCGCTCCTTGTTTTCACACACCTCAGGTTTCCAGAAACTTAAAGCCTTCAGTGTTTTATGGAAGAGAGACCGTTTGTGATAAAGCGAGAGGCCCCCGGGCAGCAGGTGGCTCCGTGGAAAGCACACGGGACTCCCCCTCCCGACCCCTGGGGCTCACTTCTTTTCCTAAACGGCAAACCTGGTTATCCGGAGCTCTCCCGATGAGCGAGGGAACTAACTGGTCTGGAGCAGCGAGCCCCCTTCGTCCTTGGCCTATCATCATTGCAATTTGGCCGGATCCACATATGCCTTTATTGATATTTATTTATTCATCTTTCTCTTTAAATCCACTTACTTTCTGAAAAAAAATGTTCCTCCTCCTGAGAAATAATAGCCGTGAAATCGCTGATTTGAGGTAGTTTATGTATTTATTCCAATACGCCTTCCAATAAATTTGCAACAAATTAAATTCAATTTTTCCATCCACTTAGCCCCAAAAATTATCTTGTGTTCTGCCCGTGGCGAGCATGCCAGCCTTTGAGGAACCCTGTGAAGTGAAAAAAAAACTTTGGAACCAGACCGAGCTGGGCTCGATTCTGTGTTGTGTCACCTGCTATCTGTGTTGACTTCAGAGGAAGCCCTTCGCCGTTCTGCTCTTTGGTTTTGTATCTGTAAGTTGGGATCTCAACGCCAGTGTCACAGGGTGATCGAGAACGAAACGTAAGGGGTGCTGTGTCGACATTGTTTTCACCAGGCCTCCTGTGTTAGTCAGGCTAGAACAGGCTGAACTGCAGTAACAAACAAGCCCCTGTGTCACAGTGGCTGACACGGGGTGTGTTTCTCTCGCGCGACAAAGGCTGGTGCTGGACAGGCGCCTCCCCGCACTGGTCATCTCACGCTGACCTCCATCTTGCCATGCCACTGCATCCCGGCCTTCATCTCCAGCCACGTGGACGTGAGAGAGACAGCAACGGTCTCTCTTAACGGCCTCAGACAAGGAGTGTACATCACCTGACTCTGCCTAGAAGCCCCGGGGTGGGACGTGGGTAGTTCGTGAGCAATAACCCTCTCTCTGGTTGGTCATCCTTGGAAAAAGCTTCTGTTGGCCCTATATCGCTCCCAATGAAAATACAGACTTACCTGGGTATTGAAGGCGCTTCGCAAGCTGTTTCTTGCCACCTTTTTTCGGGCCGCTGCCAGCCTCTCTCCCTCTCTGCTCTGCCACAGAATGAGTCACTCCCTCCTCAGTCTTCTTATAGCACATTTTTTCCCCTTAATTGCGGCAGATTCCATTTCAGATTCTACTTACTGGTTTTAGTGACACTCGCCCCAGGGTGCCATGAGAGCCTCGAAGACGGCACAGAGTCTGTGCTCAATAAACGGTGACTCATTTTGTTTGGGGCAGGGAAGAGACACAACACCTCAAATCTCAGGCTCTGAAGGAAATTCAAAGGTTATCTAGACAGTCTATCTGGCCTGCCGCCCATGACACGCTCCTGGAGACGTTGTTAAAAATATGGAGTCCGCCTATGCTGGATGCCCTCTTGGGGCCAGAGGGTCAGGCCACAGCCCTGGGGGCAGCTGTTAGAGCTTCCTGTGGCGAAGGGCTCCCCCTGTCAGTCACACTGCGGAGGGAATGAACATGTGGATCCGGGTTTAGGTTTTGCACTGGGAACCGCAGTGAACCTAGTTGATGCCCTGCCCCAAGGCACTTCTAGTTCATTACCACTTCGGTGGCTGTTCCCATCAGACTGACAGTGAGCAAGGCAGCCTGGGTATTTCACATCCCCAGGGGATGGGCGATGCAGATAAATACCCCAGCTTTCCCGTCCCCTGCTGGACACTTCTGAGATGTGCTCTTCACGGTCCCTTGGAGGATCCCCAACAGGAGTGATCCCCAATTGCCCACAGAGATGAACTGTTTATTAATGCAGTTTTTATTGGCTTTTATCCCTTCCCTGCCCCAATGACCCCCTCACTTTATTTCCTGGGACCACCTCCCAAATAAACTACCAGTACCCAAGTCTTTGTCTCAGGATTCGCTTTTGGGAGAACTCAAAAGAAGCTAAGGCAAAGCTTTATCAAGTGTGAGAATCTAAGATGAGGCCATGTTTGGGGTTCTCCTGTGGGTGGGGGAGAACAGCCCTGACAGGTGGGGCAGGTGAAGGCAAGGAAGGGAAGTACTCATGCAGAACCCTGGGGCCGGCTGGAATCTGTGGGGCTCTGGGCAGAATCTTTATCTAGTTGCATTTGTAAGTTATTCTGTTTTATACTTCCT